GTTCAAATATCTAATAAGGTTTCTTTTAGTGTTCATATACATCGTATTAGTTTTGATAATGAAGAAAAATATAATATAGGAAATGATCTGCTTGTAGAGAAAAATAATAAGTATAGAATAATGTCAATTGACTCTTTCCTGAAATTCTGGAGTATAAATAAAAGTTGATGGAAACTGCATCCAACAGAGATGCTTCCTTTCCTGAATGAAAATTGGTTGGCCAAGTTTTAAACACATTAAAGATTCCTAAAACAAGAACAAAAACCGGAAAGCAACAAATACACTGGTCAATCCCAGTAATATTATGATTTCAAGTTTAAGATCCTATGGCCATTATTTAGTTGAAACCTGCCCAACTAAGCCCCACTGCTTGAAACATGTATCACTAATTGAATTGATAAACACAAGCAACTATACTTCTTCTCAGTACAATAGTCTAAACTGTGATCTTGTATTCACAAACCTCTTGTTGCAGTCGCTTTAATTCAGTTTCAATCTGTTCAAGTTCTTGTTTACAATCCAGCAACTGTTCAGTTTTTTCCTCACTAAAAAACAAAACAAAAAGATTTTATTTAATAATATAAGAAAGTTTTATTTTACATTCTAGCTAATAAGCAAAGAAAGGAAAGTGCACCAGTAGCCATAATAGATTCACTAAAATAATAGAAATAAAGCAGTAATCAAGAATGGGCTGAAATATTGCTTAATACTTTCCCTCCAGTGATTTTTGCTCTCCTGATTCCCTCCTGTTAAGTCAAAGTACTTCAGGTCTGAAAAGGAGCTTGAGAGCAAACACATAAGAGGAAAAAAGGGTATAAACTCTGGATTCCCCAAATCTCTGTTCCTGATTTATTTTCTCCCAAAGCTGCTGTTTTTACTTATTTACTTATTTATTTTAAATAGTAGTGGAGCTTGTGCACTGGCCCATTAACAGTAGTTGGGTCCCTAATCAATACCACAGGTTGGGAAGATTTATATACATTATTCACATACTTCACTATTCTCTAAGAATAACTCTTTGGTCTAACCTCCCTGTAACCAGTTATACAGAACTTCATTATAGATTCTGGCTTTGATTACTTTTGCGAGCAGATAAATATTGATTTTGATTCCTTCAAAAGCAATATTTCCTCTATGTTAAGACATTCCCATTCCGCCTCCAATTATAATAGCAAATTATTAGCTTAAAAATCTCATGGCCAATTAGTATTATCATTGGATCCAGTTTCATATTAACACCTGTATTTAATAAAAGTTCAATATTCAACAAGAGATGTGCAAAATTAATTGATGTGTGAATGGAATGCTCTGGAGAACTCTGGGACATTCCATTTCCCTTTGGACTATACTGAGCTTCTTCCTGGACCATGCTATACTGGGATTTGGCAGTTTCCAGAAGCAAATCTTCTGAACTGGAAGCAGTTTGACAATGGACAACTTTTGCCATTAGGAACTGTAGAATTAGGATTCTAACAATTCCTACTGTAGGAATTCCTATTGTAGGAATTGTAGAATTAGAATTCTACAATTCAATTCCAGAAAGGTCACATATTCTAAAATGAATATGACATACAGGATTTAAAATAATATATACATAGTTTTCCATTTCAGAACACTAACATCTAAATGGAAAATATATGATAATAAGCATTCCTTATTATTGTTATTCAGTATCAGTGAAGCATTAGAAGAATCTGCAGTTGTAAACTGGATAAAACAGAAGATACTAGGTATTACCTTGAAAAAAGCTGCTCATGAAATGGATTTTCCTCAAATCCCTATCCTCTTAAGCTTCCCATTTTCCCACAGAAGGGCTGGAGTGAATCAGCAAAGTTCTGAGATGGGGGTGGGGAAATTAAACAGATAAAGTTTGTGCAAACTTTGGGTGTTTCCTAAGGACTCTCTGCTCCTTAAATGAAATTTGAAGAAGAGTGACTGGGAACAGTAGTGGAGAGGAGTTTAGAAAGCCCTATTGTACTTTTTGTTATTACAATTTTCTGTTAATGTCTTATTATAACTTATCGTGTGGAAGACAAACATTATCTAAATACTTATAGAATAATTTGACATTAAAGTGTTCAGGTGAAATCCAAAATCAAGGCAATGAGCTTCCACTTCTGAACCTCTTCTTTCTCCCCACTGCATAGGAGTAAAGTAGGTAGGTAGCTGTAAAGGCAATCACCTCTTTTTGTTTCCAATGATTGAGTTCAATCTGTCAGCAGAGATTAAATGAGCATAAATCTTAATATCTACTGAACATTACTGAATACAACAGATAAATGTTGTATAATCTCATTGGATTATATTGTAAAACATTTCTCTCATAAAAACCAAGACATCTGATTGTTGCCAAGTAATTCCTTCTCCCCACAAAATCTTGCGGTCTGAGAATTTTTCCAGATAGAAAGTAATACAGCACAAACAGCAGTAGCATATATGTGTATGTGGAGGTAGGAACAGACAAAAACTGGATTCTGATTTCTGTTAATTTTCTAAAGCAGGAACATGTTTGGATACAACCTTTGGATCAAGGGAAACACCTTTTTCCACAAGGAAATCATTTTTTATCACTATCCTTTCTGAGAAGCTTAAACTGGACAGTATGATTATTCTGCACTGTCACTCACAAAAAAGTCAGATTAATAAAAACTAATTCCAGTAGGTTAATGTGTTACAACAGATAATTTAAAGGAAATAAATTCTTCTCTGCTATAACATTTATCGTTAAAAAAAGAACATGCAGAATATGCATTTTATAAATAAAAAAGAATATGACAGAGACAAAATCCTAACATCACTGGCTTTCAAGATTTATTGTTCTAACTTTAAAGATGTTAGTTTTCAACAAATTAACTGAAGTATGTTCATAATAGCTGAAGTCACATGTTAATGTGCAAGACATTTATAATCCTATTTAAATCAGAAATTATAGAAATGTTCAGTCAAAAATATTTATTTCATTTTCAAATTACAAAAATATAAGTTCCAAATATAAAAAATTCAACTATTCTATATGTTGACAAGTATTGCAATACATGTATTTTATACATAATATCAAAGCCTGAGTTAATGAACTTTCCAATAAAGGCCCATTTTAAATTATGAAGGTTCTTATGTCAAACAACAGCTTCTCATGCATATTTACTCAATCTCCATGTTTTGCATCCAATTTAAGTGTAACATTATTTAAAGTGTACAAACCAGTGAGAATTACTTCAGCATACCAGCACACTGGATTGTACTAACAATCACTAAAAGATATTACTACCTAATAAACAACAAAAATGTTATTTGAAAATAAATAAATAATATTCCTAAAATGTAAAAAAAAAAGCTCTCCGAAATGTATACACTTCCAATGAGCTATTCAGTTAAGTGTAATGGGATTGTTTTTAATTATACATTCTACACCAATGTTCACTATTTAGGCTATTAACTGTCAGTCAAATTAATAACAGCAATTTGCATTAACTTTCCTAGTGCAGCTGTTTATAGAATATCTTGGCTAGGCTCATTTCAATAGACATCCAATGATCCAGTCATCAAAAAATGGTATCTCTTTCTTTTTTGTATTTTTGTGCTCATAATGACTAATTTTTAAAAAGTTTATATTCTGTTCAAATAGGAAGGTAATTGAATAGACATAATAATATACTCTACAGTTTTAGATGATACAGTTAAAACTCTCTTGTAAGTAGTGTATTGATCTTTGGTGTTCGTCTGTTTGTCTGTGTGTGGGGGGGAAGGGATGGAGAGGTGGGTTCTACATACAAATGTCCCCCTTCCGTGCTCTTCTTCTCTCTCTCTCAGAACAATATTTGAAGCCCAGTCTATCAATACTGCAGTTCAGTACAATTCTAATAATGAAGCATATCAAGTATCCAAAGTGAAATAATAAAATGTATATATGTAACTAAGAGCTCTGCACTTTCCAAGTGCCTAGGAATGCTTCTTAGCATCCAAATTTGACAGGAAATTGCCATGGAAAAACCGTATTACCATGAATTACTATGCCATTCTGTGTCCAGAACAAATATAGACAATTTGACCTTAGTATTAGAAGGCTAGCATATCACCCCTGCTGTATTATTATTCAGCAGGCACCATAATGGCTTAATTAGCCATAAACATTGCAGCATTCATCTAATGGTTAAAGCACTTCAAATGCACGATTGCAGCTAAGGATTAGAAATAGGCCCTTCAGGCAGAGAACAGATGGCGATCTTAAGCCCATTTCATTGCTAGCCTGAAATTTAACAATGACTCTGAAGCTTGAATGTCAGACTCCTATTTCACACCACTTTATAAATTAGGTTGCCACAGATTTAGAAACCTCAATGTACATTCCATTATCAATTCAAAGCTAGGATAGAACTTTGATAATCATGAAGCTTATAGTCCAGAATATTAAAAAAAAGTTACCGTACAAACAAGTATTTGGTTGAATTCCAGAATCTTCAGGAGTATTAGTGATATGGACATTAACTCCATTTATAGCCCACTGACTGATGCATCATAAGGCTAACCTCAGGCACTGGCACAAAGGCACACTCTCCCACTGTTCAATGGCAAACATGTCTGTAGCATATGGAACTCACGGGAAAGCAGGAAGTTACACAATTGCAGCACAGCTGTTGCTCAGCTCAGGTTAAAATTGATTGAAAGCACAAATACCTTCTATCAAGTTACTCTGACCTGGAGAATATGCACTTTACTATATATCTATTATTTTTTTCAAAATTAAAGTACTTTTTAAAAGTATTGTGCTGTGATCATATACAAATATATGATAGCATCTATACAGAGTCATGCAGAAAGGCTTAGTTAATACAGGTAACCCCAGCAGGGGCTGCAACATCTGCTAACTAACATGCACTTGCAAATAATTTATTCCAATCGGCAAAACATCACAATACTAATTTCTCTGCAACATGTGAAATTAGGATAGTTTGGCTTATTTGTAAAGTTTAGCATTCTGGAATATTCTAAATCTGAACTTTTTTTTGCCTATGCCTACATCAGGAGTACCACCAAGTATCCTCAGTTATGGTATCAATAGAGAAGCTCAGAATGTATAAGTAGGCCACTAGAAGGCAAACAGAAAGCTGTGTAAATCTACAGATGCTGCAGTTATAGGTAGAGGTTTCTGTCTTTTTAGAAGAACAGGGAAATTATAGCCTATTTTTACTTTACATTTGTTTCATAATACATATGCTCTAAAATCTGCCCCCTCATGGACGATACAGTATTTTAACCTTTTGAGATTAAATGTGTGGTTATTCAGCATTAATCCACAGCATTAATTCAACAATGTCTTTGTTGAAATCCAAAATCTCTAAAAGGAAGTGTGCACATTATCAGGTTCAGCCGACGCGGCACGGCTAGGAACTTGCCCAGCCGCGCTTAGTCAGTTTCACCACTTGAGCGCTAACAAGGAAAGGGGAAGTGAGAAACCACAAATTAATTAATGGGCCAGCTGGTGCCGCTTAACTAAACTGCAAGTGGATGCGTTGTGTTAATGCCAGATGGCCACAGGCGCTGTAGACAAAGGGGAGAGCTGCAGATTTGAGGCATAGCAATCAGCGCATGATTGGGAACTCCCGGCTTTGCGCTCAACAGAAAAGACCCAACGAAGACAGCGACCACGCCATCGGAAAATAGCAATCAAAGAAACAAAAGAACTAGGCTGAACCTGCCATTTGAGTAAAAGGGGGGATTACTGTGGGTAATCCGTATTCTGTAACCTAGCAATGGGGCTAGCGCGGGAACGGGACGACTATAAATTGTGTTGTAAGATGTGCCAAGCCAGTCCTAGCTTTGTCTGTAATTACTATGTTTGTTTGTTTTTTTAAATCTGCGCTCAGTCGTTACCGACTCTGCAGTGACTGCTTGGATGAGTCCTTGCGGTTTACAAGGCAATGGTTTCGGAAGTGGTTTGCAAGAGCCTCCTTCCTAGAGGAGAGCCCAGGTGGCAAGTGCGGGAGGCGGGGTTTCCGTTGCTTCGCGCCCTTTTCGGGCGCGCGCGGTTTTTTGCGCTTACCGGCCAATGCCCCCCGCTCCTTTTTTTCAAGGAGGCGCCCGCA